GAAAAAAAATTATAGTGAATGCCGTCATTTTGTACTTAGAAACACTGTTGAACGTCTTGTCCATAAATGTTGAAATTTTGTTTTCATAATCTGCTGTTTTATAAGTAAATTTTGACATTTAAATTACTTGACAAATATATACCATATGCTATTATAATACAAAAATAAGTTATCCCTGACAATGGTTTTATTCACCCCCAATAAGAACCAATCAATCTTCATTATGAAAAGACAAAAATGATTATTTTATAAGATCAAGATGCAGGATTGGATATTTTTAATGGTGTTTCCCTTTGGCAGAGGGACTACCTGTAATTCCAGTGTTTGACTTATGTGCTGCTAATAGATACAATTTCATTTAAAAATAGGATGGACGATTTTATTTTCTCTCATGAACTCCTCCAAAAATATATCTTTTTTGACTAATTTAAATAACAATATATAAAAATTGCAGTGTAACATTGAAAATTTCCACCCCAAGAAAACCATTGGCAACCGAGGCGCAGCTTTTAGCATAAGGAAAAATTCACAATTCATAAAAAAAGTTTGTGGATGGGGCTGGTCCCCTGCAGTCTCCTACCTCCTAGGGCTCGGTATTGGCCAGAGATTTTGTATTACGATATATTGCGATATTTTTAACTGTATTGCGATATGTATGGCAATATTTTTAATGTAATTAGAGTGGTATTTTCTTACTATATTTACTTTAATTTACCTGCAGAATGTACATAACTATGATAAGTAACCAACAGGGAAAAAAATCTTGTTAGTTTCATTAAAGTTATGCTCTTTTAAACTACTCCCAAAAAACAACTTCTGTCTTACTGTTTGGCTTAATAATAAACCTTTCATATATTAATTTTTATATTTAATGATAAAATTCCTTAATCTAAGCATACTGCCAATATATATCGATATTACAAAATCATATTGCAATACGATTTTGTCATTGTATTGCAATATATTGAAATATCAATATTTTTGCCCAGTCCTACTACCTCCCCACAACCACCCCAGCTTCTGTCTGCCTGAACGATATGTTCACCTGAGTGGAGGACTGGAGGTCAGGTGCATCTGAAGTAACTTTTCAAAATATATTTTAAAATATTACTTTGGAATTTCCCAATTTGTTTTTAGTCCAGTGGAAAAAAAAATCTGATATTCATTTAGCAGGTCACTTGGAGGTTGGTTAACTTAACTAGGTGATAAGTATTTTTTCGTTGTTGGATCTCAGCCAATCAAAGAGATAGGAATTATGCCTAGGTCACATTTAAGCCGATACTAGTCATACGACCAATTTTTTCTGGTATTGTCGGCTAGTATAGGTAGATCTATATTCAAATAAGTAACCTGAGTAATCTTTGCAAGGTTAAGTGGGAGAATGTCACAATGTTAAAAATGTGTGCAAAATTTTGTAAAGTCTAAATAGGAAACAACAGGGTGCATCTAAGCAGCAAAGAAAACTTAAGATTTCTTTATATTTTACGGATTTATTATTTATGTCATTTCCATTCAAAAAATATCTATCAATCCATGCATCAAAATTTTGTGTCTTATATCCTTAATTAGTTAGATATATATAATTTGGCCAGTAGTCAGGCAATCATCGGGCTTTGAGCTACAGTGTACACTTTAATTTTAACCATCCGCCGAAATTCTGGAAACCCCTTATTGTCAAACGACGCACGATCAACTTTATAAACATTCTGCCGATGGTGGGACAATGATAGGAAGGATCGATGAGTCTACAGATTAACTCAATTGAAGAAATTGGCCAAAGATGCAGAAAAAATTATAACTTGGACCGATGGACACAAAATTAGCTGGCCGACAAAAAAAAATTGAGGTCACGATTGTGCAAGACAACAGCTGATGAATTGCCGACTGTCACCCGAAGATCCTACTTTTGCTTCAAAAACCATTGTTTGTTGATTCTTTTTTAAAATGTGACTGGGTTTTACTGTAAATCACATTATACTCACAAGATTTTTATTTTCGCATAATATTACGCAAAACAATCTGCTTGTGAAAATTTCGGTCATGCTTTTATTAGTATTCCTAAAGATTATAGAGAGCAATAACCACAATTTGTTAAAATTTTGTCATGCTAATTACCCGTGAGAACAAAGGATTACTGTAAAATCACTAATTTTCTTGGGGGTTTAATTTTAGTTGTTTCAAGGTATGGATAGACCTTCAAATTTATGATCACCATGAAATGATAAATTTCATATGCATTACTACTAAATATTTTCAACCACAAATTCATATCCCCATAAACAAATATTTTTTTCCTCAAACCTCGAAAATTTGACCCCACGAAAATATGTAATTTTACAGTATCTCCAAAAAAAAAGTGTCAAAAATTGACTGATCTTTATATATATATATATATATATATATATATATATATATATATATATATATATATATATATATATATATATATATATATATATATATATGCCTTTATAAGCAAGCTAATGAAAATATTTCAGGAGGAAGTTCATCATATGTAATTTTATATAAAAAGTACTTAAATCCCACATTTATATGATATCTGCCATCTAGATAACTGTTGTGACATCAGAGAAAGACATTTACAGGTGACAATTAGATTAAACGAACATGCATTGCTTCATGTCATATTAAAAACAACACATGTTTTGCTGATTTAAAGCTTTAAATGCATGGGCAAATAATCTTCCATTTATAGAATACAATAAATCAAAATAATTTCTTTGCTTTGTCAATTTAAAAGGAAGCAAAATGACATTGGAAATGAAAAAACAACTACAGAATTTTTACCACTCTAAATATATTTATAATTTCTATTTATAGAATATTATAAATTAAAAGAATTTCTTTTTTGTTGGTGCTAATTTAAAAGGAAGTGAAATGATATTAGAGGTACATTGTATTTGATTCTTCAGCATTAAAAACATAACACTAAATCATGGCATCAATATGTTTGTGTGCCTCTCTAGCATGCTACCTGTAGCTTATAGCAAACCAAAAAGGTTTTTTGGCTGAACTCAACTCAAAAAGTTGTTTGGGGGAGGGCTAGGGTCTATGTAATACCCTTAGTGTTGGCATCACAGGTTGAAGTTTTTTTTAGCAGATTTCTTTGCAAGAACCTCTATGTCCTGTATTAATCAGATATGCATGGACAAATTTTAGTAGAATTCTTGAAACAGAGGAGTTTCAAGAGGAGTTGCATGCATTTTTCATTAGCATTAAATTTGAAAATGACATGCTATTAATTATTTTGATACTGTCAAACCCCTCCTATTTTATATGCTAGCAAAATTTAACAAATTTATGCTTCATTCAGAGTGTAGTGTTATAGATTCAACTAAAAAGATTTAAGATGTCATGTACCTACTTATTAAGGACGTACACTTGATAAAAATACTTAAAAATAAAATTTAAACATCACCAAGTTCATGTTAATAGGACATATTGATTAGTCTTTCAGAATTAATACCTGGAAGCAGAAATAGTTGTAAGCCATTAGCACAAATTATCTTGTGTATTTACAGGAAGAAAGCAGCCCAAACAGAGCTGGAACCCAGATACTAAAGTGGGGAAGACCAGCTTTGATGATCTGTTCGATGGAAGTTCAGAGGAGATGAAAAATATACCAAAGAAAAGAGAGGTGGTAACAGATGCAAAGCATACCTGGGCCACAGTAGGGCTAGGGGTAAGTCTTGGGCCACTGAGTAGGGTAAGGGGTAAGTTTGCCTGGGCCACTGAGTAAGTTAAGGGGTAAGTTTGTCTGGGCCACTGAGTAGGACTAGGTATAAGTTTATCTGGGTCACAGTTTGCAGGGGTAAGTTTGCATGAGCCACTGAGTAGGGCTAGTAGTATTAGTTTGCCTGGGCCACTGAGTAGGGCTAGGGGTATGTTTACAGCCTGGGTCACAGTAGAGCTAGGGATAACTGTACGTGGGCTACAGTAAGGCTAGGAGTAACTTTACCTGGGCTACACTAGGGCTAGGGATAAGTTTGCCTGGGCCACTGAGTAGGACTAGGTATAAGTTTATCTGGGTCACAGTTGGACTAGGGGTAAATATACTTGGGCCACTGTAGGCTAGAGCTAAGTTTATCTGGGCCACTGAGTAGGACTAGGGGTAAGTTTTCCTGGGCCACAGTAGGGCTAGGGATAAGTTTATCTGGGCCACATTAGGTCTAGGGATGAGTTTAATTGGGCCACTGAGTAGGGCTAGGGGTAAATTTACATGGGCCACAGTAGCACTAGGAATAAAGAGAATGAAGTTTTCAAAAGCAAACCATCCTGTGTAGTTATACGAAAATAAAGTTCTTGTGAATCAAATAAAAAGTGTTTTAGAGTACCTGTCAGTCATTTATTTCGACAAATGATGCTGGCATAGATTTATTTAAAAAATATCTGCAGAACTCTTTCTTAAAAGACATGAAGTTTGTAGTATATGAATCAGGTGATTTATGGATTGTTTTATGTTTCTAATTCATTATAGGGTGATGAGGACAGCTTTACAAGTGGCATATATAGAGGGCCAAAAACTCTCCTCAATGAGGATGATCCTTTGGCAGGGGAACTAATGAACAGCAAAACTGAAGGCAGCGATAAAACAGACGAGGGTCTTGTCAGGTAAAGGATCAGAAAAAAAATAAGTACAGTAAAACTCACCTGTTGGTTCCCATACTAAAATTCTTTAAGTTTTCAATATGAATATTCATGTGTGAAATTCAGATAAAGAATTGCAGTGTTTGATAGACTAAAATAAGAAATTTTGGTAATCATTTATTGTATATATACATGTTATTATATATAGAGAGGAAAAAATAGGTAATTTTTGTTTTTTTTTCTTTCTTCACTCCCTTGCCGTGGCATATATTCATAACATACCCAGTATATTCCTTTAAATGTTTTATTTTTTTTATTTTTTACAAACCATTATCAGTTCTGGTCATGTAAGGGGTAGAAGAGTTGATGCCAAAAAACACAGAAAAGAACTAGAGAAGTTAGTACAGAAATCTGCCCCTATGTCTAATGACTCTGGATATGAAGAATGTGGAGAAGGTTTGGAGGAGGAGGATGAGGCATTAGAGTTACTGGGTAAGACAGCTTTATACTGGTCAGAACCTGTAGAAGACAATGAGGCACACAAAGTTACTAGGTGATAGTCTTATACTAATCAGAAGCTGCAGAAGAGGATGAGGCTTTACAATTACTGTATACAGGGAAATATTCGCCCCCGTTTTATTTTCGCCCCTTTCACCCTTACATCGTTTGGGGCGAATTTAAAAAGGGGCAAATTCAAAATATACAATATATTTTTTTAAACAAAACGGTGACTGGGCGAATTTAAAATGGGGCAAAATTAGTTGCAAGTGTGAAAGGGCGAAAATAAAACGGGGCGAAAATAACCCTGTATACAGTACTAGTTAAGACAGCCTTAAACTTTCAGCAAACTTTTTCAATACCAACTTCTTTCAGTAACATTTTTTTTTACATTCATTACAGTTCCCTAATATCAACTTCCTGTAGTATCAAGTGGGGGGGGGGGGGCTACCAGCCTTTCAATAAGAATTTCCAATAGTAAAAGTAATGTTGGAAAAAAAAGTGGGGGGAGGGGGGCAGCCCTGTTGCTACATGCCTGATCCTTAATAGATATGAATGTTACCTGTTTTGCAATTATGTAGACTTCTAGTGTTTTTACATCAATGATTTTTTTTTCTTTTGATATCAATGAACAGTGTTTTGACACTTAATGAAATGGAATATCTTAGTTATTTATATGCTTAGCCAGACATGTCTGTTTTCTATTATTTTTTTATGATGTTTGTATTTTTTTGTCTGATATTGAATTCTAGCTGTTTTTGTAGAGGATGCTGATGACTTGCTGAATGAAGGTGTGACAAAAATTCCAAAGTCTGGCTATAAGCTCAGTCGAGTAAGTCATATTTAAAACATTCTGTGATCTTTTTTTTTTAATTTAATGTCCTTATAATCTTTTGTCTCGGTCAAAAATCATAATTTTTTTCATTGTTTACTTATTAATATTATTGGACTTGATTTGAATTAAGATATTACGACAAAGACAAGAAGATGCAAACATCAAGCTTAATATCAAGTAAGTTGTCTAATTTTGTATATTGTGAAATTGTTAACTCAAATTGTTGATGAAGTTTCAAAAATATAAGAGACGATCATTTTAAGGTCATATCGTTTTATATAAAAAAAATGCAAATATATGTTGAATTTACTTATATAAAAATTTATATGAAAATCAAAATGAATATCAAACTTTGTTAAATGGCAATTGTTATATTCTGTTTTGACTAAAGGATTGCTGATGTATATGATGGTGAGATTTTTCACTGTTATCTTTAATTAATGTGTGCACATTTTTATTTTCAACTAGCAAAGTTCCAGCTCAATTAACTCTCCCCGTAACTCCTAAGAATTGACAGTCATTTGGAAAGTTTTGTTTGCTGTTAACATTAAGTTTTGAAACTTGTCTAGAACAAACCCATTGCCTTTCTCTTTGAAAATCAGAATTCTATGTTTACTCTCATGATAAAATTGGATTTTTCCAACAGGAGTTGAATAGCTTAATGAAGGATAAGATGGACAAGATTTAAAATATTTCAGTTTTTCTCACTGTATACAATTGTATATAGGGTTGAGACAGATTGTAAAATTAGTCATTATTTTCATGCAGGACAGAAAGTGAAACTACTTGGGGAATGGGGGTGAAGGCTGAGGAGGGAGTTGTAAGGACTATTTAGAATAAACAAAACATATGTTGCTGAAAATATCAATAGGGGGAAAAAATCACAATTCCAATAACAGTCAAGAATTAGTTCATTTTGATCCAGAGGCCTGTTCAACAGAGCGAACGTTTGCGAGCGCTCATCAAAATTCCTTATACCTCCAACAGAAATGTTCGTGAGCACTGGCTCTGTTGAAGAGGCCTCAGGAATACACTCAGAGTCCTTGTAGCCTTAGAACTCTCCACTTTCTCTTTGACTGTTTCCACTGTTGTTTCAGTCTCTATGCGGGTGAACAACCAGCAGACAGCTACATAGGTTTGTATGGCACTTTTCTGTACTTTAGAGGTTTTTCCACTGTTATTTGATGTTATTTGATGTTAAATGTAACAGTAATGGTCACTAGAAAGCTCTACATGAGGTACCGGTATATACAGCCTATCATGTTTTGGTGGTATTCATGAATTATGCACTAATCATTGTGCCAGAAATCAAACTCTTGAATTTATGAGTACACTGTCAGATGGTAAATTGTAAATTATCTACTTTATTTTTCCCTTTATAAAGTAAAAACGTTTTAGATTATATTGACTGCTAATTATTTAAAAAAAAATTAATAAATAAAACAAGTTGCAGTAACAATATTAAAGATTTGAAGTATTTATTTTAATAGAGGATTTCTGAAAGAAGTGTAAAGTAAGAGTGATATATTAATGTATACTGTTCTGAATTTGCTTTAAGGGGAAGGATTGTACAAATCCTCAAAGATAGATGATCTGTTTGAATCTGATGAGGAAAGACCTGCTACTGGTACGTAATCATTAAGATGTGACCGAGCAGGTATATGTCTATCTGTATCACACCATATGGGCATATAAAATACCAAAAGAGTAACCTAATATACCATATCTATATAAAAAACACCAACAGAATATTAATGAGAAAGGGAAAACTTCTCGTTCATATGTAATTTTTAATGAGTTTTCAATTCATAAACACTAATAGTAAATATGATTTACATAAAGTACATTATTTTTATACCCCCTGCTTGAAAAGTGGGAGGGTATATAGTAATCGGGATTTCCGTCCGTCCGTCCGCCCGTCTTTTACGCTTTGTCTCTTATCCGCAACTCCTCTTATACTACTGAGTGAAATTTACTGAAACTCTCACAGAATCTTTATTACATATTGCCATTGTGCACCTCCTATTTTACTTTTTTATTCGATGCGTATTTTAGGTTTCCCATAGCAAAACATGGACATTGCTATTATATGTTTACCTATGACATCACATTTAGAGGCTTCTGGATAACATTTGATAGGACGAGTTATTCCTCTTTACACATTACTGTGAAACAATATATAGCAACACATGGACATTATGGGAGGCGGGGGGTATCATTTAGTGAGCTCATTGCTCACAGTACCTCTAGTTTTGACTAAATGTAATGTATGTTTTTCATTTCTTAAATCATATCAGTCTTTTTTGTTTCTAGATGGAAACATAGTTATAATTATAAATTATCATTATCACAACACAGATTTCTACATCATTGAAGGAGAACCTTTCTATTTCAGGTATGTCTGGATTCAGGTCATCACCAGGTGACAGTGATGAGGAATTCGAAAGTGTCTCTCAGGTGACTGGTCCTGTACGTATTTAACTTACCATTGTATGACACTTTAAGATTTTTTATTTGATCCTCTGATCTATGTAATCATATATTTATCTTTCAATTAATAACCATTTGATGTTTAATATTCAAGGATTTCAACATTTCTTGGCGAACCTGACCTTGTTCTTATGACCTTGAAACAGGATTCTGATACACCTTCTGGTCATACACAGACTCTGTATTTAATAAAGTTTTAGTTTTTCTGCATTAGTGTATCACATTTAAAACTTTGATGTTTTACCGGTACTACTTTTAAGGACTAGGTTGTCAGTTGATGCATCTTTGGTATGATATGCTGAGACAAAATTAGGTTATATTGACCTAATTTTGAATTTAGCTGCTATTTTATTTTCAAACTGGTTTAGATGCATGTCTTGGACATGGTTACCATAGGAACATCAAACTTTTGACAGTGCATTTAGTGGTCTCAGGGTCTGACGATGAAAAAAAGGTCACAGAGACCTACTGAACTTTACGGCTTTTCATCTTCAGACAATAACTATTATGGACACTAGGAAGCTTATAATCATCAAATCATCAAATCTTGTCAGTTGATGCATTTTTTGGTCTGGGTTATAGGTCAACTAAATAGTAGACCAAATATTTTCTGAAAATCTTTAGACCTAATTTGAACTTTAAAGGTTGATACATCTTAGGATGCTGAGATGTGTCGATTCAAAAGTAGGTCACAGTGACCCATATTTAGAATTCCATAATCTTTCATGGATTTGATATGCAGAGTCCTAGGGTCAAATATTTTTGGTACACATTTTTGAATGGGCTTGAGATATTGGATTTTACCAAAAGGTTTAATGCTCTTTCTACGTTATCTTTGATAAAGTGTACAAATCACAATTTTAACAACAAAATGAGCAACATTCTAAAGTTTTTTGATTTTTTTCCCCAGAGAAGACCAGTGTGGAATGTTGGAGAAGATTCTGATGGTGAGATTTTTTTTCACAGATTTGAAATAAAAGTGCTGTTTATTCACAGCAATATTATTTCCTTGAAATCTAGTGTATGATATAGTTAAGAATTGTTTTTATATTTAAATGATGTAAATGCTTTATCATTTTAAACAGTTTCATTTATATTATGCTGACAAATTCTAATTAATGTCTCTTTTATTAAATGTTTATTATCCATTTGAAAAATTCTCTCAGGTGATTCATTTTATCCCCGCAATTCCAAGACGTCCCCAGGAGTTTCCGGCTACAGGAAACAGAATGCATCATTATCAGAAAGGTATTCACCTCTTACTGGAAACATCGCAGTGATACATGTAGCATTGCTTTAATCTTAATATTGAATTGACAGTGGTATTTGTCATGTATAGAACTTTAATTATCATGATTAAACCACATTTAAATCAAAACTCATTAGATAAGCTTAATACTAGTACATTGAATTTGACTAGGAGCCTGAACCAGACAGCCCCCGTAAGATTTGAACCTTCACCTCGACAGTCATTTGACAGTAACCGTAAAGGTGTCTCCAGTAAAACATGGACTCCCGCCTCCCAAGCCATGCAATCTGTGGTAGGTACCCTATCATTAAAACAACTTCATACCCAGAAAACTAGTATTTTGTCCACAGGTGCTTGACGTTTTTAACCTTTTTCTTCATAAATAAAAAAAATCTCCTATACTATAATAATAATAAAGTATAGGGAATTTTATTATCTATGAAGAGAGAGGTTAAAAACATCAAGCACCTGTGATTTTGACAGAGTTTTATGATATTTTGACATCTCTCTGTGGTTTGACTCTCCAGTTTGTATACTGGTATTTTGACATTTCTCGGTGATTTTAGTCAGATTTGCATAATATTTTGAAATCGGTCTAATGGTTTCAGATTTGTATAATATAATTATTATATTGACATTTTTCATTTTTTTAACAGTCAGTGTGTACATTTTGAAATCTCTCATTGATTTGACTGTCAGATTTCTATACTGTATATGTCATGAATTGGCGTATTAAAAATTAAGTGCAAACACTGGGTATGGAGTTGTTTCATAATCATGAATTAGTGCTACACATCCTTGCCATGTATTGTACATGTATTTATAAATGATTTCTTAGCGGTATTCATAATTGGCACATCGTTATTTTAAGTACCTATACTGTAATATTTGTAATATCAGTGGTTTGTAATTGACTTTTTTCAGGAGTCTGTAAGATCCACAAGTGGAGGATGGCAAATTCCACGATACGATTCAGAAACAGAACTCTCCGAGTTTGGAGGTATTACATAAAAATAAAATTTATGTTTCTATGTTTTTGATAAGAATTTTTAATGACTTTGGTTAACTTTTAGAAAAAATAATTACTTTTGCATTTGGCAACAAAATGTTTCATATTCATTTTTTTTCTTTAGACCAGTCTGCAAGAAATCGACCACCAAGAGCTTATTGATTTTCGGGTCACGTCAGTGATGTCACACACCAATACATGACAGTACTCAGACATTTATATTTACTTGTACGTTATTCTCCAGTTGTGTAGAAAAGTGAATTTCATAGAAATGTTAATTATTCATCATCTGTGATAGTTTTACGTATTACATTTTAATTTCTACATAGATTCTTTGAATATAATGTTATATGTAGACACATGTATTTATTAAATGACCTTTTGAAGGACAACCAGTACGTGTATTGATTTATTTTTAATGATACAAAGTCATTTTCAATGGATGATTTATTATGGAATCTTTTTTCAGTTCTGTTGTTAAACATTGACTATTTACAAATATTTGTACATGTAGGTTTATGCATAATAGAGAATACATAGAGAATACATAAACTTCCTGAAGAGAATATTAGTACATGTAATACTGAATAATAAACAAAATATCTTATATGTATATGATAACTTAAGTTACTTTTGTTTGTTTTGTTAGAAATAATGTTCAGATACAATATATTTGAATAATAATGCATTGATACAAACAACACAAAAATTGTACCTATGAAAAGATATTATAATTTGTCTAGTAACTTAAAACTTTCACATTATCTTTACCAATCATTAAATGACTATACAATTTGAAAAAAAATGTCAACATTTTCAATTTCCAAATAATGTCCGTGTCAGGAAGCTAGGAAACAGTCAATAGTGTCAGTAGATTCCAATCCTGTATGACTCAGATCCTGACCAAACTGGATAGAACTATTAGCTTACAATAGAACTCATATTTGATAGAACTCTTATATTATGACGCTACTCCTGAATTATGATAGAACGCATTAAGTATGATAGAACTCTTGGGTTATGACAGAACTCTTGCTTTACACATGTATGATGCAACTATTGGACTTTGATAGAACTCATTGGATAATGTACATTGTGGATTATGATGAAACTTTTGGACTAGGACGAAACTTGGATTTTGACAAAACTCTTGGATTATGATGAAACTCTTGGATTTGGACGGAACTCTTGGATTATGATGTATCTCGGGGATAAAGTCCTGGATACCGGTCCTCGAAGTTGATGTCACGTGTTGGGACTCTTCCACATATTTCTACACACGACTTACAGCAGTTCCAGCCTACCACTCTATCCGAACCATTGGTTGGAGTGTTACTGCAGAATAGGCCACATTTGTCTATCGTTATTTCCCCCTGGCAATGGTTGTCCAAGGTATTTGTGATAAAGTGACCGTAATTCCCCCATGGACAATCTGAAATAAATAAAACTTGTGCAATTCTAAATTCAAAATGCTACATTTCCTTCGAATTGGTAAATCATTAATTATCATCTCAAAGAGGAAGCTCATCTAATGTAATTATGGCGCTTAAGATGTAGCAGCAGAAAATGTAGTGTTATGGTTTTATATTTTAATTCATGGCCGGGCATAACATTTTTGGGGCCGTGGGTGGGTGGTATTTTTTATTATGAAATTATTTTTTTTTATAATTGGAATACTAACGGCTTAAGTATTTTTAACTTGAGGATATTGATGCAGGCACTGACCGACTCCACAGACAGATAATGCAGGCATTGACTGATCCAGTGTCTGTCAACGTCGAGATTGATCGATTTTATTATACTTGCTGATACATGTAGCAATATATAGTCCGGTATCATCCCAGAAATGGTTGCATCCTTAATTTAGGATTTGTGAATTGTTCAGAACTCTTTTATTTTCAGATAAGTTTAACCTCATTAACATGTCTATTTACAAAAGTTTACCGGTAATTAGAGGGGTTTATGATCCTAGATTCCATGAGTTTCAATATTATTAAGTCGCATAAGTTTCTATATCATAAAGTCGCAAGAGTTTCTGTATAACTCGAGTATTAATTGGAATGAGTTTATAACACATTATTTAATGACACCAGATGTTTCCCTAGTAAACAAACGAGTTTGTTAAGTTGCGTAAGTTTCTTTATTATATAAAGCCGCATAAGTTTCTTTTTTTATAAAGTCGGGCAAGTTTCTTTATCATAAAGTCGCATGAATTTCTATATTTAAAAAAATCACATGAGTGGCTATATTACTTTATAAAGTGGCAAAAGTTTCTATATTATACAGTCGTATGAGTCTATATTATAAAGTGGCACAAGTTTCTATATTATAAAGTCACACGAGTTTCTATATTATAAAATCGCACGAGTCTCTATATTATAAAGTCGCATAATTAATTAATTTTCTTTTATTATAAAGTCGCATAAGTTTCTGTATTATTAAGTCGCATGCTTTTCTATATTATTAAGTCGCATGCTTTTCTATATTATTAAGTCGCATGAGTTTCTGTATTTTAATGTCGCATGAGTTTCTATACATGTATTATAAACTCGAACGAGTTTCTTTATTATAAAGTCGCATGCGTGTCTATGTTATAAAATCGCACGAGTTTCTATATTATAAAGTCGTATGAGTTTCTATATTATAATGAGGATAAAGTACCTACCAGCTGTCACGTACTGGGGCTGTAGTATCAGTGATGTGCAGTTGTCTTTACAGTCTACATATGTGGTCACCTCGTAACAATAAGCTCTCATGTGGGGAGCGTTGTTAAGTCTCCGGCAGTATGGCAAGTCTGCAGGATAAAATCAAAAGTTTATATGGATTGTTTATACATGTACATGTAGTACATTGACTAAGTTATTAAGGTGCATGGTATTGCTAAAAATTCCCCTCCTCCATAAAAAATATATGAATTAGATATTCGTTTCTCCTTTGTTTCTTGGGAAAACCCTAGAGTTTACTATGCAGTAAATCCACTAATCAATAAAAAAAAAGAATTTTATTGTTTAAATATTTCCATTTCTATTGATTTGCTTTCTCTCAATCTCTGTAATAACTCTGAAAGTTAGGTGAATTGTTTTTTTTCCATCAATTATACTGGAATGTTAATTGCGCTAAGCGATAGTTTATTATGGAAAATGATTTACAGAATTTTATTGGACATCAATCATAAAATATACCGTCCTTATAAATCTACGTTAAATACCCGAACGCCTGTTTTCATCTGTTCATCATCAAGTTTACTTCGGATATGGCAAAACCATAACTAGAACTGTCCAAACGGGACAAAATACCCCCCTCTGGGTTTTTCAGAGGTGCTAAATCATGAATATTTTATGGATCTAAGAGAACAGAGAAATGCTAAAACATTTTTAGTGCAAATGTAATTGCTCATTATATTTTTTTTTATAAATGAAACGAAGGCGCAGCATAATAAAAAAAAAAATAGACTAAATATACGGACCAAAAACGAATTATGAACTTTTTCTGTCAGTGACCTTGAACTTGCATAAATGATGTGAAGCAGAAGATTCAAGTTTTTCCACAATAAAGGTATGTACAAAACATGAATTACACAACTTTTCTTTCAGTGACCTTGAACTTGCCCATATGACCTTGGGTCAAGGTCACGACACACCCTTAGGTCATGAGCAATCTTTGCGTGAAATGAGAACCTACCAAGTTTATCCATAAGAAAGATATGGACCGGACACGAATTATGAAAATTATGAACTTCAATAACCTTGGGTCAAGGTCATGACACACCCTTAGGTCATGAGCAATCTTTGTGTGGAGTAGTAGATTCTAATGTTCTTTCGTAAGAAAGATATGGACCGGACATGTTTGCACAGCTGGACGGACAGACGGACAGCTAAACAGACGGCTAGACGGACAAGCTGATTCCTATATACCCACCCACCCCAAACTTCGTTTGCGGGGGGTATAATTTTAGTGAGTACAAGTCAATTAGTGTAGTGTATGATAACCCTTGCTTCATATTTTCAGGTACTTTGTACTGATTAAACACGGTGGATTAAACGTTTGAAAAGTTACAGTAACTACAATCATTTTTCAAATTCTTTGTTCATCACAGGATTAACTTTGGGAAGATGGAATTGTTGTTGTAGTACTAGTATTGTATAAAAGACATTACTGTATAAATCAGTTTACATTTACTTCGGCCTTCCGCCCAGTTTATGTACCTACCCGCTTCTGTGTAGTGGAAGACCCCAGCTACTGCTAACATTAAGCAAACAGCACAGCTTTTCATGACTTTCATTCTGGCAGTGTGAAGGTACCCGTTCTGCTGACGCTGCTTTGTCACAAATAAAAGTCGGACAACACGCTTCATTGCACAGGGAAATTCGATCAGCTGTGCGCCTGAACATAAATCAAGTCTATAGTTCCTGGTGTTTCACCACCCTAATTAGTAATTTCCTATTTATATGCTCTCAGAAATAAATATTGAAAAAAAGACATATATTTATTTTACATGTTGTCATTAAAGTAATTTTCATCGCTACTGTTGGACAGCCATTGCAGAGAACTTGCAGATAATGGAAACTGTTATGCAAAATGCTGAACATCAGAGGTCTTTGGTTTTTACTTTATCAGTTTCTAAGCCACGTGGTTCAAATATCAGAAGTCCTTCAAGCAAGGGTTCTCAAATGTTCTGAATACAGATGATAAGGGTCAACTAACAGATAAATAGAATGACAAACATGGAGACTTCAGCTTTTCCATCGTCAACTCTACGTTTTTATGTAGTTATATCCCTCTATCACCTGCATATGGTGTTATATATCTCTCAACTTATTCGATACCTTAGGGCGCTCAATTTTTAAATCAATGCAGGCTACTGACAGATAAGTTGATGTAACAGGGTTTCATGTTTATAGCCAGCATTTCGTAAATTATAAAAACTTTATTATTAACTTCTGAATGATGAAACCGCCCTCCAACATAGCAACAATCAACATTACTTGACGACAGGTGATATGCCAAAAAAAAAGTCATATTCGTCAATGGAATGTTTTGGGCAAACGAAAGTCGGGAAGTCATGACTTGCAAGTATGTCAGTATGAGTGAATTAACAATGGGTTTGGAACGAATAATTTATTGGAGGGGATACTTAGGGGCAGATACGGTGTTCTTATCGAATCGTGTGTGTGTGTATGTGGGGGGGGGGGGGGGGGGGGGTCACAAGAATCTGTGTTTCTAAGGTCAATTTTGAAAGGATCAAAAAGGACAAAAATTACGCTTTTACTTTTAAGTATTTAATTCTAATTAAATTTTAATAAACTCGACTAAAAAAAGTAAAATAAAATGAAATAACTATGGAAATGTCATAGCACAAAACTCTGCATTATTTCTTTGGATAGACTGTGGGGTATCTCTGTTGGAAGTTTGTATCCCGTGGGGGCATCTTGCCGCAGACCCTGACACAGTCCTTACAGCATTCCCAGCCCGTCTTGATTTTGTCCATTAACGGGCTCACACAGTATTCAAAACATTTCCCTGACGTTATTTTCTTCTGACAACGTTGGTCCAGAGATTCGGACAAAATATTAGCGTTGTTTCCCCAAGGACAACCTGGGTAAAAATATATATATAAAGTATAAAGTATATATAAATGCTTCCAATGTCCGAAATAATGTTCCTTCTCTAACTGTTCACATGGAGTCAGGATCTGGTTTCCAAAAGATTTTCAATCCAATTATACATCAACATCACGAGCAGAATCAAAGAAACTTTTTGGAAGCCTCATCCTAGTACTTTTGTAGATTTTTAAAATACTTTTTGGTCCCATTAACAGACAACCTGTGATTTTTATTTTTAGTGGAGAAATGTGACAGATAAACCCTTGATGAGATTGAAGTTAATAAACTCAACATTTACACCTTTATATTAGATACATTTTCCTGAATAAAAGCGGAGATGTAGATAGATATATTATACCTACCGGCCTCTACATATTTCGGGCTCAGCAACAATTCGCCACAAGTGGTCTTACATCTTGTATATATACTCTCTTGGTAGCAGTATGCATAATAGTAGCTGACATGGCGTAGTCTACTGCAGAATGGAGCATCTGAAAGGGTATATATGTTAACATATTGAGCGTAACAAAGTCATTCATCTAACTTACTAATTCTTCGTTTAATAACTTTACAATGTCAATAGGGACAAAGTCAATGCTGACTGGTAAATATCTGGGACGGCTAAAAACCCCACACTGTTTGACGATCAAGGGAGGTAATCAACTCGATAAAGGGTATTCATGTCTTTGTTGTACCTTTAAAATTTGTTCCTATACAAATCTATACTCAAAAGACGTATCTTTTCCAATGTTTTACTGAGTGAGATGTTGGACCTGTCGATGAGATGTTGGACTGCTTATGTCACAGAATGGGCGGAGCTTAATCTCATTTTCATTCGTTGGTGATCAACAGTGATGGACCTGAGGTTACATCGCGGAAGACAGTACAAAATACATGTATGTCAAAAAATATTGAAATGAAAGGTACATACATGTATAACAAAACATTTATTGACCATGTTCTCGGGCAAAATGCGCTTTGTCGATCCTCGAACCAAACTGTCTGCCTTCGGCCTTATAACCTCAGGCAGACAGTTTGGTTCGAGGGTCGACAAAACGCATATTGCCCTCGAACTCAGTCAATAGATTTATAGTGTTTCCCTTTCTTCTTGGAAAACTGAAATGAAAAGCCCGGGCCGTCGGTCTTCAACTCTTGAGGATCTCCTGAGTACGTCGTCTTTTCATCAGTACAATTATTTAACGATAAGCAAAGAAAAGTATCATTTCTTTGTTAACAATGAACCCTCAATGCATCTTATTTCTCGGAATTTTCCTAAGAAAGAAATCTTTTTGAACATTGTAAATCATACAATTTGCACATGCCCTGTGGGGTAAAATGATACGGTTAAGGCCTATTTACAGTAACTTGAATGATAATTAAAAAAAAAAAGGATTCATATATAGCCATGTATCCGACTGAAAGTTATCTCTCTTTTCAAAGAGTTAATGAATCTAAAAACAATGAAAGAAAAAGAAATAAATAAACAAACAAAACTGATGATGACAGTTGTTCATCTGACTCGGGTAAGCTGTAAATGACTTAATGGTCATTAGTCTCTCAGTGGTATTACCGTAAAAAAGAAGGGACTACAACTATCCTCTTCTTTCTGTTTATCTGTCTGTACGCGAGTCTGTCTATCCCAGTTTGAACTATTTTCTAGTCTCCCACTCGTCAAGAAACATTTCAGAATTAATTATATCGACACTATTCAGAGTACTCTAGGATTGTTTTTTACTTTCACCCAGACGTATCATCTGTGAAAAACTTCGCGTCATAAAGTCTGATGTACAGATAAACCTTATTTCTGTCCTATCATATTCACTTTCTCATGCTGTTCTTATCCCAAATTCTACTGTGCGGTTAAACTTGCTGAATATTTGACGATATTTCCCTTACAAACAGTGGTGTACTGACCTGCCTTAACAGAGTTGGTAATAAATGCTGCTAGGAAAATGAAAACCGCAAGGCTTGTAGACATTGTTCCTTCAGTTGTTGCCCTTTGTAGATTCAACAAATTCTAAAAATGGATTAGGAGTCACTCAGATGAATTAAAAATATAGACACCAGTTTCAAATGATTTAATAATGAATATGTTTAACGACAAGATCAAGAGTGTCGCTTCTATGCGAGAAAAACGGGTTCAAAGTAAATAGGCCTGGATCTAATCATCTAGGGCCTACATCATAGGCCTAATGACAAAGATTCTCAAAAACTATTTTTCTTGCATAATTAATGAGACAAATTTTTAAAATCAGTGTGTTGAAAGAGCATGTATTAGATATAGAGAGGGATCAGGTTTCCATTCTCATCTGAGTCTTTATGGCCTAGCTGTTCATTAAATCATTGGCAGACCCCCTCCCCCCAATACATTCCTATATACATGTAGTTATACACATACAGTAATGTAGTTTCTTCTTTTCTAGACCACTGTCCAGTTTCTCGGTTCTTGAGAATTTTTAAATATATCATTACTTAATTATCTTTCCTTTAAAGAGGATAGATTAAGTTCATTAACACAACCTTCTTGCGAAAATGTGAAAAATGCTCGTTGAAAACGAAAACAATAGAGCAACTTAAACATTTTCAAATTTCGATCTTTTTGATAAACATTCAAACAAATTTTCTGGAATCTTTATGACCGTAAAAATCACAAGGGAAAAAAGAGCTAACACAACAGAACTTACCATTCATTTGACGTCACAAAAGAAGGGAGTTAACTCACATTCACAAAATTGAGAAAACAGCAAAGTTATTTCCCTTTGCGGAGTTCTACTTTATGAGAGCGTTCTACTTCAAATTTACTGTTTTTAAAATAAATGCATAGGTACAATGATTCCTGGACCAATTAATATACAAAATCAATGTTACGTTTATTTTGAAGTCAGATGACAAATTTACACCTTATATGCCCAAGTCCGGGAGTTGAATATCGGGGTGTGTGGGTGGGGTGAGGTGGTGGTACAAAGGTACCTAGCTACATGTATGCCTTGTGACACATATATAAAACTAGAGTCACTGTGAGCAAGGAGCTCACTAAATGATAGCCCCCGCCTCCCATATTGTTAAAATGGCAAAGTCAATGTTTTGCTGTTGCCGGAAAACCTAAACTATGTGTCGGATCAAAACGTAAAATAGGAGGTGCACAATGGAAATATGTAATCAAGAGTCTGTGAAACTTTCATTGAATTTCACTCAGTTGTATAAGAGGAGTTGCGGATAAAAGATGGGTAACCCAAAGCGCAACAGACATACGGACGGACGTGGAGCTCGACGGACGTACAGACAGACGGACGGAGTGACGGACGGAGTGACGGACATACCGATTACAGTATATCCTCCCACTTTTCAAGCGGGGGGTATAATAATTAAATGGCTAAGAAATTGCAAAGAGGTGTTAATATGATTTTTTTGCTTTCTGTACAACTTGCTATAAACATTGCAGAAACATTGTATTAATTGTCTTTTGATTTAGGTCTGATCGATTTATAGCAGTGGTTTGGATTTCTACAAGAAGTCTAGGAAAAACAAAGATGACAAATATCTAGTGAAAAAAGCTTAAATGGAATACTGAAGCGTGTCTAGTGTTGGTAAAATTAGAACCTTGTCGGACTATGGTTTCCTCCCTTATTAACATGGACCCCACCCCCACCCCCTCACCTCGTCCAGATGGTATAACACCAAAAATTCTTAAACAGTTCTCCTCTTCCATTTATAAATCACTTCTCAAACTTTTCAATGAGTCGCTTGAATTTAACCAGTTTAAAAGAATTTAAAAAGTTTACAAAATTTATGGATTGTAATACCGGTATATGGAAATAAATAACAGTGTTCAAGCTAAAAAAAAACAAGTATATACTGACAAAAAGTCAGAGATACTCAAGCTGTAGAAAATGAAAATCAACTAAGAAAAGTCATTAATATCCTAAAATGGTATAATGTGGGCTATTGAGTTCAATCTTCTATTGAATTATATACATGTACATGAAACAAAATTTATATAATGAAGTTAATTAGAATAAATATAATTTATCGTACTATACGATGAATTTACGTTACTCACTTTCAGGAATATTTTATAGAGTATAGTAGACGTTTCTTGAATTAATAAAATATTTTTTATGTAGACATTTCATATACTTCAAACTATACGCTTTTTTAATTTTGCTTAATGACGTACATAAAAACATTTTATAAACATCAATCTAAATAGCTTGTTGCAAGTCGGAAGAAAAGTTTTTCAAAGTGGAGGGGGGGGGGGGGGCTCAGGGCTCCAAAAAGCCACGTAATTACCGGTATACGGGTACATCTAACTGTGCGGCATGTACAGTACATATTCCGTTCGAATCCAAAAGAAGTTATTTAGGTTCCGTTACCAAAGCTGAAGAAAGTACGATTTTTTAAAATAAAAAAAAAACGTATGAGGGAGAAATTAACATTAATTTTGCGCTATTATTTTACTGTCACTCAAAGTGCACATCATTTTCAGGCCCGTTATAGGCAATTTCAGTTTGGGGGTACAGCCATACATTTTTTTGCTACGCATTGTAAAACTTTGACAGATCTATAATAATGTATCTTAGTGTAGTCTACTTGTGAAGTTATGCCAAATTATATTGAAATCAGACCAACACTGCGAGAATAAGCGTTTCGAAAATTTGTTAAGAGAAGGACAATTAGAAATGGGGTAACCTGCGTCACCTTTCAGAGTAACCAGTGGACTCGTCCAAGGATGCTTTGTCGGCGACTGTAAAAAGTACCTGAGATTCCTACGCAAATGAAAGCGCGAAATCTCTGTATAGAAACTGTTGCAGCTGCGACGCTTCACTCATTGTTCATACGCTGTAGAATAGAATCCGACTTTTAACACTTAATATTTTTGAATATACAGACGTTTTCAACATAAGCTTCATTTTTGTTTCTAGAAATATGTTTATCTACAAATATAATATAATTTCGTGTTTTTAAACTGAGTAAATCGATGACCTAGCATCGTTTTAGATAACTCAAGCCCCTCTAGGGCTTGAGTAAAAACTTGGAGCAGAGCAAATACGGACCTCCTAAGCATCAGAGGTGGGATCAGGTGCCATGGAGGAGTGAGCATCCCCTGTCGACCGGTCACACGCGCCGTGTGCTCCTTGTCATGAATCGGAAAATAATGGATCTCGATACGGTCACTGAATCGACCATAGAACTTACGAAATGAAGACTTTAATAGAGACTGCTGATATTTTTGTTTCATTAACTTGTTTGTCATTAATTTACCTCATTTTAGAAATTGTACATACGTAGAACGTGCTCTTTTGCAATAAATATTCAGTTTTTTTCTATGGGTGGTACCGTAGCTCTCTGGTCTGTCAATATATTTTTTTTCGGGGAGCTACAGTTGAAATTGGGGAAAAAAGTTTTACACAAATTTTGTAACAATAAAGAAGATGGGCGCATTTGGCGTGTGATCTGCAGGAATCATTTGTACGAAACATGTATGGTTTAAATGTCCATGATTAGGTTGGCTGATCATAGCTGATCTGATTTTAAAAACACAGGCAACCATAGGATTTTTTTCAACTAGTTTGAAATACCTTGTCAGATTGTAACATTGATGTACGTATTTCTTAGGAGGTACAACATAGTAATGCTTCACAAAAATAAACACCTATAAGATTAAAGGCATAGATGATAAGTGTATGTGTACAACAAGGTACGTAATCGGTTTACGTAGAACAGAAGATTGGAATTGATTTTGCTCTCGGTGCAACTGAGCCAAAATTTATTTAATTAAAAAGTTTGATAAATCAGTACATACAATGTTATCTATTTTTGGAAAAAGTTCATTTTTTATGGTCTCTGGGTCTTTTCTCCATTTTTTTTCAAATGCATGTTCGTTTCTTTGAATTAAAATGCACACAAATAACGTCTCAAAATCATGGAGAGAAGACACAGAGGTAGAAAAAATTTAGAAAAACGTGTTTAAAACTGTGCCATTTTGTACCAAATGTCTGATCTAGCCAATTTTCAAGTTATTTTTAGCAAATCAGAACTCAACTTCGGGAAAATATTTTCCTTTCCCATTTCACAGGAACTCGATGAATAAAAAAATGTTAAAATTCCATGTGACATGTCGAATGCCAATCAAAAGCGCCCTCTTTCTTTGAGCCCCCCACCCACCTCCCCCCTCTATCTCTCTTTCTCTCTCTCTCTCTCTCTTACACACACCCATACATTATTGTCTCAGACACCCTGGTTCTTGGACAAGAAACTTAATCTAAAAATAATGAGGTTTACATTCATTTAAGGAATAACTGTCTTATTTTTCGAATTCATGAAGTGATCAATGGATTGGCTTGTGTGATAATTTGCATAAACGCCGCAGTTATTCCTTATATTTACATGCTTTGATTCCGCCAATCCACGGGCTCCAAGCCTGCTTCTCTCTAGGTGTTGTCCCGCCCTGCACGTGGTTTTTTTGGAACTGCGCCAAAACATTCATGAGGAAATCAATTACATTTACAATTGGTAATTTTATCTCGGACAAAGACATTGGAAATGTAAATATAACATTGTTAATAAGTATTTATGAGATATATAATTTTTTTGCACTTTTCATTAACCGCTTTATGGCATGTGTCCGATTTTTATCGACACCGGAAACTTCCATAAGGCGCTACCTATCGACAACGGAAACTTCAACAAAGCCTTTACCTACTACCTATGATTTGTTTCTAACACATATAACATATGTTAAATAAAATCAAGACTATCAAAACAACATAATCTTTCGGTTTTTTAATGTTTTTCTGATTTTGTTTGTCAATGAAATAAATTTATAATTGTTGTATTAAAAAAAGTTTATGTATAGGAGCATTTGGTACCGAGATTAAATTTCCGTGACATCAGCTGATGGCGATCGGGCCCTGTGACGAAATTCGAAGTCAGCATGAAGTTTAGCTGATAACATTATCAACGCGTTAGATTAAACTTTAGGAAGAAATGTATAGCGAGAAATATCATATTTGA